GCACTATAAGCTAACCGAATTGTATCAGATAGATTTTTGAGCTTTGCGCTGTTGCTTTCAGGCTCCTTTCCATTTACTGCCTGTGGACGACTTTGAAAAGCAGATGCGTGTCAACTACCTTAGCGCTGTAAGTTCTGTTAAGATTTTGGCAAAGCCTCTCATTAGTTTTGTATTTTTCTCAGGTGTACGTTACCCGATGTGTAGTGACCGGCATGATGGCTAAACGCTCCGGACACATATCTTTTGTATCATCAGCTGCTGGGCAGTGTGCCATCTATGGGTATACTGCTTACTCTGCGACGAAGTTTGCTTTGAGGTACAGTTATTCTACTAATATTTTACAGAATGAAAAGCGCACACAGTGCTGCAAAATACCCATGAAATATACATTTTGTCTTTTTCTTGGAAAAATTCATGCCGATTTTGGTACAATGTTTAGACTGGAAAATCGTCTTCCCTTCAGCAAAAAGATATCTAATGTTTCATTGGTGTTTTTTGGAATAGATAGCTCGCTGGCTCTATGAGTGACTTTATTGATGATTGTACATTTATACAATTAAATGATATACCACGATTTGACTGGTTACAGTACCTTCTTTCCGCTTCGAAAGCATCTACTCTAAAAGAAGTCAAGGGATGTTTCGATTTGAGTTCCATTTACTTTGCAAACGACAAAACGTTACAATAAATTACTGACAAGTACAACTTTTGTAGAATTTCGTGGTCCCTCATCTTCATAACTTTGTTTCTGATTTCTATGTGATTTTTCAATTTAGAGGATTTGCTGATGCCCTGCAAATGGAACTCTTCCCATATAATATCAACGTATCGGTGTTGTATCCCCCTAATACGGACACCGAAGGATTCAAGGTTATATTAGTTTATCGAAATTGCTCGTGAAATGAAGCAAGAGAATTTCATTTACAAAACGTCTTGTAGTTTCAGTGTCAGTTAGGTTAAAAAGGCTCCCCTAAGATGGCTATAGCATTTTTGCTCGCATCTACTCAAATTTGCTGAAGCGACTCAAGTGCA